CAACATTTCATCACAATTCATCAACAAATACTTGTGCTTGTCCACTCTTGTATGATTATAACTGAAATATTGGCATGTCATTACAATATATAATTGAGTGTACAACATAATATCGTCACTAATCAATGTATTTATCATTCTGTGTGTTAGTAATAATGTTAGACTACTTAGACCTATTAGAACTGGCTTGAAAATATCCTACATAATAAACAAGACTTGTGTGTTTTCAAATTCAGAAAACGCCTGTAATTTCACCATCCTACAAACGTGGACGGAACAGCAAATGGCTGACTGGTGTTGAACAAGCCCGCTGCGGAAATTGTACGGGAAAACTCTTGATAAATAAAACCTAACTCTATGGGGTTGCCCTGTTCAAGGAACAAAACCATAGCAAATTAAAGGGCGGTGGGCATCGCGTCACGTATGCGTGAGATATGGGTCTCACCAAACTTTAATTGTTTTTTGGGGGGCGATTGGAGGTATGGAAGGAGTCGCTGGTGCTAATTAGTGTAAATGGTAACTAGGGCAAAATTTGTGATTTTTATTAGAAAATCGCACTGGATTGTGGGAAAATCAATGTTCAACAACACAATTTTAATTGAGAAGCATTTGGAAAACAATGGTAAACGGTAAGCATTTGAGTACTATGCAGCATTGGTACTTATGTCCCTGCAATAATTACACAATGCGAGACCTGCAAATACTCAATTTTGACCTGAAGTTTGTGATGTGAATGAATAATTTATCTGCCTCGTTCTCATGAAATCCTGTGATACCTATTAAGTAGGTTTCCATCATAATAAATCAAAGTAAATATTACGTCAAATTGGACATCTATAAAATAAAACTATAATCTACACAACAATAAAGAGAAAATACAACACTCGTAATCAGCCCTGTTCTTTAGAAACATGACTTCAGATATAAGTGTCAACGAACATGGATCTCATTCTTATTTTCGATTATATATCTAGACTAGTGGTCTACGTGCCACAATAGTGTAATATAATTGAAATTACTTTCACAACTGTTTGTTCTGATCTGATCATGTTTGAAAGTAGACTGTAGAATATGTGTGTATTTGATAGGATCCTTAACTAACGTGGCGAATGAAACAATACCTCTTATATATCATTAGTCATATGGTGTACAGTCTTACACGTCTGTAAAAATGTAAACGTTCCAGTGGAAAGATTACTTGTATATAGATATAGATGCCTTACACTAACTGCAACAAGCTATTGAACAAAAAGAGACCACTCAGTAAACCGAAAAGGGGTCGGTATAATTGTTGTAATCGCGTCAAATAAATATTCAAAAAAATCATAGTCATAGGATTTCGGAGTATTTTTTAAAATATGATTTAATATATTTCACTTGAAGTGTATATTCTGTTTGGAATATACCCATGCTTGTCCATGATAGTATACGAGTAGACAACGAATCATTGCAGTTTACAATTACTATGTTGAATAATATTTACAAAATGATATTGTAACTCTAACTGTGATACATTTTACTTAGTGGTTTCGCTATTCAATATAATATGTTTGTTTACAACTAAACTATGATGATGCGAAAATAATACTGAACAC